AAACTCACGATGGCCGACTTATGGCGCCTGCCGCTCATAGGGCCTGGTTCCGTCCACGACCGTCAACCTCCCACATCTATCGCGCGGAGGTCACCGCTTGCGTTCTACTTTCTCTCACACACCCCAATTACTGCACAGGGCAACACCACTTCCGATGACGCATGCCGAATGAATGCAGATGTACCATGGTCACTTTAATAAACAAAAGACTTTTCCTAGTTTTAATCAAAGCCAAAATTTTTGCCGGCGGAAACGGCGACTCTATAGCATGAAGAGAAACATCACCACGCGCGCCTAAAAACTGCGCGGCCATACATACTTTGTTCCCCGTCAACCATTCAGTCAGCGCGATCCAAACATGACCGCAACTTTGCACGGTATACTCAGATTTTGAACAAACCTTATCTTCTGTTACTTGCAAAAACCCAGGGCGGATACCCTTGTAAGGGTATTCACGCCGACAGCTTACCGGACCTTATTAAGCGACGTCCCTGTCGCGTCGGACTATCAAAGCTATAACCACAACCACATCCTGCTGACAAGGAAGCGACCAATCCAGTTCGCCGGCTCGACTCCGTTCGAGGTTGTCCTATCAACCTGCCCCCGTCACGACGTTCCACTGCGAGGGTTTCAACCTGGGTCTCCCACGTCTTGGCCTCGGAGCTAGGGGATACTTTGTTCCGTACTATAGTGTACTTCCCGCTCCCTGGTACTAGGTTGATAGTCCTCTCCCTTTGTCGTAGACTTCTACCGGCTCGCCGTTGGGTGTTCTGTATAGTCATCGTCCCGCGAACGGGGTCATAACTTAGGACGCGGGCCCTAACCGAGACCTCTCAAAATACCGGGCGCCTCTAGCCGCCCACATGGTAATGCTTACTATCTTAAATCACAGTGAACACCCAACCTGGAGTCTAACACGGGTGGCTTCAGGTCTCCATCTTGGCCCATCATGGACCGGCTGATCATGCCGAATCCACGGCCCACCGCGTTGTTATGTAGCGATGGTGCCCTCGTTGGTTACGCAACGATAAGCCACTCTTCCTATCTTGGCACCCCGAAGGGCCCTGACTCTTGACCTAATCGACCCCGATGACTTTCCCTCTAGTGAAACCTCTCCGGGTGGCCGACCCTTCAAGACTTAACCTTTGGTAAGCGACGGTCCCGCTGCCAAGTTGCACCGGTCAGCGGCCCTCGCTGGGAGTTAGGTTCTACAGTTCCAGCGATGCTAAGTATAGCCTCTTAGTTTGGCCTCACAATACGCCCTTTAGACTAACCCGTTGTGGTCTGACACTTTCTTCCAAAAACTCCTCAGAGTGACCAAAGGATCACATACCACTGCCCACGGGACTACGTGGGGGGGTAGTGCCTTTCCCAATAATCCAACAACATCCCTCGGTATTTCTACAGGTTCGTGTCTCCCTTACTTTCATCAAGAGCAGGTAAGGTCACACGTCTTTTAGGATACTCACAAACTTTCCAAGGTTCCAACATAATTGCCAAAAGGTTCCATCCATGATTCTCACAAAATATCTGGCCTTTCCTCGTCAGACTTTACACACATGCAAACATTATCATCACTTATAGCGACTCTTTTGAGTGCTCTCCCAAAATTTCATCCTTTTAAGAAAGTCCAATCGGCCATTGGACTTCCCTCTCTCTTTTCCAATCATACACAAAAACACACAACTTTTAGTTGGGGCCTTTCCATTCATCATTATCTGGGCAAACTACATCATGTCATCATTGCCTCCATAATCTGAGAATTCTTCCTTCCATTATACTCCCGGCTCCACTTGTCATGGGGACAGGAAGGCGTAAGTACAGCGGACGAAACGCAGATCAGTTCACTCCACAATATTCATCTCATCACACCATCATCCATATGGGCAAGTCCACAAACCGAGAGTGAGTGTGACACAACCCACACAACACAGAGACAAGGTCTGAGACTCACATATATACACAGGATATGGGGCCCTGCAATGAGTAAAGACTCTTATCCTTACCACAAAAATCAACATATTGTACAAAGAGTTCAGGTAGCCAACAAAGACTTAAGGTATCCGAGTGTCGCAGTATCAGAATTCGACAACCACTGCACACTCATGAACGTTATTGTACAAGGGTATTAGCATTCTACGTCACATTAGCGGATAGAGAAAGGAGTAGTCAAAGTCACCCTCAATATTACCTTATGTACAAGGAAGGTTTTCAAGTCTATAACGCGAAAGTAACGCCTCACTACTGACTCACCTAGCTGATGCCCATGGGTCTGATCCAATCCCGCATGTATCCCTCTATGTACAAGTAATCATCAGTCAGAGAGTCAGAGAAGTCTTGCATATGTTAGACTTAGACCTTTCCGGACCTTATTGGAAAATCCTGATCACTCATGACCTCTTGCAGCTGCCTATACAACTGCGCCCTCACCCCATCACGAGTCTTAGGAACTAGGTTTCCATCTCTATCTCTCCATATCCCAGACGATTCCCTGGTACACAATCCATCTGCCTCATCCTTGAGGCTCTTGGGACAGTCGTCTTATCGATGTTTGCCCCTTTTGCAATAAAAATATTTGCCAAGTTTCTTTTGGGACATCTTATCTCCTTCCAGCGAAGGTATTGACGGTGGGACTGTCGAGATCTTGCTTGTAACCTCCTGCTGTGGGACCTCTGGGGAAGTGGGGCAGGCTGCCCTGTCATCTGCTTGCAACACCTGCTCGCCGACACGCCCCTCTGGTCCTGACCCAGTGGCCCAAGATCCCAATGCGTCTCGCAAATTTGCAGTAACAGGCACCTCCTGAGGCATAGTTGACTCCTGACGATCCCTCAGGTCCACTCTCTGCTCAGCCTCAACCATGGTCTGGCCCATACTCTCTTGTCCCTCTGGCTTTCCCGTAGTCTCCCCCTGAGTCGGAGGCAGAACCACCTCCACTCCCACCATCTCCACTGGTAGTCCCTCTTGTAGTACCGCTGGCTCGTGTCCCAGTGTCAGGCCAACAGGAAACCTCCACTCAAACTCTCCGACCCCTGCACCCTTTTCCACAAGTACTCCTGGTTGCTCCAACATTTCCTTGTCGATCAGGGGGATCTCCTCACCCTCCTGCTGGTCCGCCTTCTCTGCTTCCTTCCCTTTTTTGAAGACTTTCTCTGCGGGCTATTCCCTGATTTCAAACTTTTGGACCTCTGTCCAATCCACCACTCTCGTGGGGGCCTGCTGTGCATACTTGGCTTCGAGGTCTCGAATTTTTTTTTCCCACTCCGTCTCTTTAACCTGGAAGAAGGTCAGTTGTGCACACAAATAGGTCCTCAGAGCGTCAGTGACCTTGTTAAGGGTCTGGTTGACTTGTCTGGCGGCCTCATTCTCTGCTGATACTTTCTCCATTTCTGCCTTTACTGCTGCCAACTCTTTGTCCTGTCTTTCCAGTTCCTTCTTCAGGTCCCCAGCCTCTCTCTCCCAGTCCACCCTCTGGCCATAAGCCTTTTGTGCCACCTTTGTCAACATGTCCCCAATCTTCTAATCTGAGGCCTTTGCTGCAGCGAATCCTTCCTTCATCACACCCTTGAGGTTAAGTAGGTCTGTGGAGACCAACTTGACTCCCATCTCCTGATGCCATCTCCTGATGGTGTCCTCCAGATCTCCCTGCAGCATCCATCAGCTTGTCGAAGCCTATCCAGACCTCTGAGAAAAGAGGAGGGTCCTCCTCCTGAGTACAGGTACCCTTTCCTTTTCTGCCCTCCACCTCCTCAGGCCCTTTCCCTTGCTGCATCCTGTAATGCAGTTCTGCCAGGTTCTTCTTTCTGAGCTGGGTTCTGATCTCCTGCTCCCTTACTGCTCTTTCTTTCCTGTCCAGTTCCTTCTCCTGGGCAGACTGCTCCTTCCTCGACTCCTACTCATGTGGCTTGTGAGGGATGTCTGGCTCCGCGTCAGGCATAGGACAATCCATCTCCCTTTGAGCAGGCGGGGGAGGTGCATCTAAACCCCCGGACTCCCCTGCTCTCTCATGCCGGTGGGACTTGAGTTCCTTCCTCCTTTCCTCCCTCTGAGTCCCTGATGATGCGCCCGGCTCAGCGGTTCCCCTTTCCTCTGCCTCGGGTTCCCTTCTTCTCTTTTCCATGTCTCTCCTCTCACCTGCCTGACGAGCTGGTGTGTAGTAGTTCCACAACAGCTTTTTGCAATGCCCCCAGTTCCTGGCAGATGCTACGATAGATCGAACAAAGGGTCTGATGTGGGGCCTCACGAACAAAAGGAAGCTCCCCACCCTCTGCTCTCCTGGGGTATCGAGCTCATCTGCATACCGATCATAGGCCCATAGGAACTCCCCCAGGTTAGTGGAGTCAAATCGGATGGGTTGTCCATCCCTCCCGAATGGCGATGGATGCAACCCTTCCATCCTCCGTCCAAAGTCCTGCCAGCTCAACGACTCTCTGACCAGGTTAGCAATGGGGTCCACCCACTCGCCTGTGCCTCGCACCTCTCTCAACATCCTGGTGCTGTCCCATCCAAACTCTCTCGCATGCCGCTCGAACTCCATCAGGAACAGCTCAGTGTTCCCTCCCTGGAAGACTGGAGGCCTGTCCTCTCTCCTGGTCCTCATCTGCGTCCTCTGTCGAGTTGCCCCCAAAAGGGTTTCCACTGGCCCTGCCCCTCCCCTCCCTCTTGGCATGGCTGCCCCAAGCGGTATCAAGCCTGCACAACAGGGAAGAGGCAAACAGAAGCACACAGAGGGTAAGCGATATGAGACAAAACACAACAGGAGACAGACATAACCCTCCCACACCTATCTCAATTACCTACCTACACACACATACGCATACATAGTCATACACACATGCAAATCTAACCACAACCTATCACGCTATTCTACTGAGGGCAGCACCCGAAGTAGCCACTAGATGACTCAAAGTGGTGGGATCCCTGCTCACCTCGTCTCGAGCCACGAACTTCTTTAGCCTCGAGCCTGACACCCAGTCCTTCCATGCCGTCTCATTCAGCTCTTCGATTTGGTAGGCGCCATGTTTACCACATCTGGTGACTCTGTAAGGCCCCAACCACCTCTTATCCAACTTCCACGACCACTGCTTTTATAGGGACGAGTCGTACAACAGCACAACGTCTCCCACCTTGAGAGGCTCCTTTCTTACCCTCGCCTTCTTGTCCCACCGGAACTTGTCCTTGGTACGGCTGTCCGCGGTTCTACTTGCTGCCTCCTCAATCCTGTCCTCAATAGCGCCAATCTGTCGTGCCCTCAAATCCAGCAGTTCCTCAAAGGTCAGATCAATCTCGAGGTCCTGTCGCCTCCAAGTTTTCAGGAAGCTTTCAATGGGAAATGTCGCATGCCTGCCGTACCATAGCGTAGCCGGTGCATAGCCAGTGCTCCTCCTGATAGTGATGTTATCCACGAAAAATGCGACCCTTAGAAAGTTTGGCCATTGGTTGGGTCTGTCATTGGTCCACTTGGCAAGAAGATTTGTGATGGTGCTATGCCCCCTCTCCACAGGTGCGTTGGCTTGAGGGTGCGCTGCAGTAGTGTACTCAGCGATTACCCCATACTTCTTCAAAAGAGCCTTCACTTCTGCATATGTGAACTCAGACCCTCTATCCATTACGAATCTGGACACAAAGGGGTAGCGAAGATAGTACTCTTCGATGCATCGGGCCAATGTCTCTCCAGTCTTCGTGTGGATGCCATCCACAAACCCCGAGAGGTTGTCCCGTGCATCAAAGATGAAATTGTAGCTCCCTATCCCTAACGGCATTGCCAATAGATCCAAGTGCACGACTGCTTCAACCTCACGAACGTACCTTGGGTGCAGCGACTGCCTGGGTCTGAGAGTAGACCGTTCCTGGCATGGCACGCAAGACTTACAATAATCATCAATCATCTTCCCCATGCCATCCCAATAGTACAACTCGTGGATCTTCAGGTATGTCGTATCCGCACCTCTGTGGCCACCTGCCATACCGTCGTGCAGTGCCGCCATAAGGTCGATCTAGCGAGCGACGCCACAGACTACTCTCCTGGGGTCCCTTCCTTTGCTCCTCATGAACAAATGGTCATCCCTCACCAGGAAACTAGGCCTCATCTTCAGAACTCGCGCGCAGGCATCCCTTTCCCTCATCTCGCACGAAAGAAGCATGCTGAGTTCAAGGTATACCCCCTCATACTCCTCTGCTCAAAACGCTTCCTGGATCTCCCCCTCTTCGAAGTCATCATCTTCTCTCTCGTGAATCACGTTGTCACCTCCTCCCGGCTCTACCACCACTTCCTGACCTAGCACCGTATTCCTGACTGCCTCCTCCTGAAGCAGCGCGTTTGCCAATAGGTACCCCCCACCTATCACCCTCTCGTGCTTGCCCACTTGTAGCGCCCCGTTCTCAATCGTGAGCGGGTCTTCTTGTAGCTCATACTTACCTGCCAATGCCAGCTCCATCATCCAACCCACGCCCGACATTCCCCAAGAATCTTCTTCAATATAGGGCTTGAGGACTAAGTCTAGCCGTCGTGCATGTCCTGGAGGCGCAAGCCACACAGGCCGTCCGGGATTAACATAGTTACCCACGGCCAATGCCCAGGAATTGATGTGAAGTCTCACATCCTCCTCACTGTCCAAGAACCCGTCGACTGGCGGAGCATCCTCGATCACTCCTTGATTGTTATTGTCCCAGTCGACTCGGCTCAGCCCGTCCGCCCTATTCTTATTCCCTGGAATTCGCTCCAACTCGAAGTTAAACATCCAGATGTACGTTAGCCACCTGGCAATAGTTGGGTCTGAAGGGGCGAAGTTCCTGAGAGAGCCAGCCAACGCCGTAGCGTCCACCCTCAATACGAACCTACTGCCAAAGAGGTAGTTTCTGAAGATCCTCAAACAGTGAGGAAACGCCAAGGTTTCGCGCTTGAACTGAGAGTAGTTCCTCTCAGTCGTATTGAGCGTCCGACTCTCAAATCTCAATGGTCGTTCTTCTCCGTTGGGGTCTCGCTGAATCAGCACACCTCCTAAAGCAGTTGGTCCTGAGTCCGTTTCAACAATGAAAGGTTTGGTCATCACTGCCGCATGATCTGGTACTCCCAGAACCAGACCTCCTTCTTCAAACTCTTTCTTCAGGTTTTCTATTACCGATTCTTGCCTTTCTCCCCAATACCAGTCTTGCCCTTGACGCACGAGCTTCCGCAGCTGCTCTGTCTTAGCCGCAAACCCCTTTATGAAGATTCTCCAAAACCCACACGTTCCCAGGAAACTCCTCACCTCTGTAATAGTTTGGAACGGTGTTGGCCATTCGAGAATTTTGTTAGTTTTCTTAGTATCTGGCCGACGACCCCTCTCGTCGCACACAAATCCTAAGATAGTGGAACCACTCATGCAGTGCCTCGATTTTGGCCCACTAGCAGTGAGGTTATGCTCCTTCAAGAGATCCAGGACCTTGCACAAGTCTTGCACATGATCCCACGCAAAGCGCCTGATTCCTGGCATCACCTCCTGCTCATCTTTCTCTTTGGGTCCTTTCACGGCCAGATCATCAATGTAGGGTTGCGTGATGTGAGGACTTATGGGCTGCATCGCCCTCACCATGTGCCGCTGGACCATGGCGACCGCATTCGTCCACCCCTGTGGCGCAACGTTCATGTGGATCAACCCTCGAGGGGCATGCATAGCCGTCATCGGTCTGTCCGATGGGTACACAGGAAACTGATCATAGTCTGAATATAAGTCAATGAGTGATATAATGGCTCTCCCAGCGCATGCCTCTGAAAGCGCATCGGCGTTGGGGAGGCCACCTGCGTCCCTCACTGTTACAACGTTCAGGCGCTGCAAATCTTGTACCCACCTCAGAGTCTCATTGGGTTTGACAAAGCAAAACCAGGGGGACGCATATGGACCACTCGAGTAATCTGCCACATGAGTGCGGATCTTCCCGTCGAGGTAGTTGACCACCTTCTCTTCATCGGTTGGATTAGGGTATCGCGCACCTCGCAAGTTCCACGGCTCGTGAGGTACGGTGTGTATCCTAATCATGGGGATAATATCCACGTCCAGTCGGCCCCTCTCATCATCACTAAAGGCATATGCAGCGTGCCTTCCTCTTATGGTTTCCACCACAAGTTTTTCCTCTTGCGCTGTAAGGAAGCCAGACTCTCCTATGATCAGCGTTTTTTCTGTCTCAGGATTGATACGGCACGACCCATTCTCTGCTCTCTCTCGCATCTGCCGTATCAGCTCTCGTTCCCGCTCGTAATATACTTCTTGCTCCTCAGCAACAAGTACGGGAACAGGGCGACACTTCTGGTCTACCCTTTTGTACCGCCTTTGTGCACCTTGCTTGAGCCCACCCCTAAAAAAGGTCGAGCTGCGCTTTGGGGCTGTGCTCCACTTGTTCTACCTACCTTTTCGGGCGTCCGATACACTAGTTCCATCTCCCCTGCGCCCATTTGCTCCACTACCTTCTCTCTCAAGGCCTCCACAGCCTCTGGATCCTCCATCCCATAGGTCGACACTATGTCCATAGTGTCGCCTATGTTTTTCAAACTTAGAGTCAGCGCCTCTGACTCTCTCACCTCCTCGAGCCTGCTGTCCTCAATCCTTAGCCTTTCTTCTTCTGACTCTTCAATCGTGAATGAACCGGGGTTGGGTCGGTTCCTTACGCTCTTGGGTCATGTGTTCTTGCAAGCGATGACCTCGTAGTTCCCGCATACGGGATCGCATAGGACGAGGAACATAGTTCCATCGTGTTTGTTGAGGATGACCGTCTCAATCCGACTTAGGAACGATCTCCCAAGTAGAATAGGGTGGTCCAAGTCAGGCATCACAAAGAAGCAGCTCCTAACTTTCACCTTTCCAATTTTCAATATCACTGACGACGCGGTCCCAATGAATATCGATCGGCTATTGGCCCCCATCAAAACCCCGTTGTCAGAGCGGTCTACCTCCATTCCCAGCCGTACCACATGTTCCTCCTTTATAAGGTTCATTTCCGCTCCACTGTCCACCATTGCGGTGCATGTCTTCCCTTTTACCACAACGTCGAGGCACCCACAGACGACAGACTTCCAGTTCATCTTAGTACCCGTTTCAACCCACTCAGCCTCCTTAGGGATTATAGTCCCTAGTCGCACACTAGCCACCATCTTCCTGGATAGTCGCGCCCTTAGCTCATCCCTAAGCCAAGGCGCTGAGGCCAGGACGTCCTTCAGGTTCATAAGATGATTATGACCTTCGAGAATCCTGTCCATTATCTCTTCTACGTCGAACCCTTCTTCCACGTGGACCGCATACCTTCTTCTTTACTTTCTGTGCCTTGTCTGTATCAGGCTTAGCCCCTCTCTTTTTGGCTGGCTGTTCAGCCCTCTCATCCTCCTCTCTCCTCAACTTGTCATCCTCAACGTCCTCTCCCTCAGGAACGTCCACAACTTCCTTCTCACCACTTGGTTCAGGAGCATCCTTGGCTGGTTCTTCGGGAATCACTGGCCCTTTAGCCCTCGTTCTGACAGCGTATGGCGCCCTCCCCGTCCTTGAGGGTGGTCTGAAAGTCATTCCGGATCGAGGCGTCGCTCCTGAGGTCGTGACGTTTGGTAGATCCTCGGACCCTCCTCGCGACCCCGGACCTAAGTCGTAGAGGTATACCGACGGCCCCTTACCTTGCCACTCCTCGACTTCTTCGCACATATCAGCTAGCTTCTGTTGGTATTTCCCAACTTTGTCTATCAGGTCCTCCATTCTCTCCATTGTCTGTCAGGCCGTTCTCCAGTAATCTTCCCCTGTCTCGGCACGCAGCGGCCTCTTCCAGCAATCTTCCTCAATCTCACCGTCGGATTGTACTATGATCGGTTCTGCCTTAGTAGTGTCGGCCTTCCTTTCTTGCTCCACCTCTGCGTTCTCTCCTACCTCCTCCACCCTGACGTCACTACGGACCTCTTTCTCCTGCCATATCCGAAACATGGTTGGAGGTGCGGGTGGCTCACCGACCTCAGCCCTTCGCAGGGCTTCCTTCCTCGTACCGCAAGAAGTCTTCGGGTCAAGGTGGTAACCCCACTTGTCGTACATGTCTCCATCATAGTTGGTGCTAATTAAACCTGCGTCCTCGTCGCTCCTCCTGACATGGCAGAACTTGATAGTGTAGCCTTTCTGCCCACAGTACCAACAAATGGCATTCCTCCAATCTATCCTGCCTCTGCCAGCGCCTCTTCCACCCTCTTGACCGCCTTGGCTCCCGGATGCCGTCCAGCCCTCGTTTCTGCCACCTGAAGTGTTACCACCACCATTCCCTCTGCCATTTCCTCCACGGCCACCATTCCCCCGTCCTCGGCCCCACCCCTGATACTGTCCACGTCCACCCTCTTGATTGCCTTGCGGACCTTGTGGGGCTGGCTGCTGAGGTTGGTTTGGCGGTGGGTTCGGGTGACTCACTTGTTGCGCTTGGGGTCCCGACCAGCCACAGGAAGCCGCGCTCACTGATGGTCCAGCACACGACCCATGCGGCCCACTCATCGGCCATGGCGCATACGAGCAGTGCCCATGCCAGTGACTTGAAGGTCCACAACCTGGCCACAACCCATAGTGTGTTGGTGAAGCTTGACTGGGCGGCTCAGGAGGTGGCATGGCTACCGCTTGCGGGACTTGACCCCTCCCTGAGCCTTGCCCCCCCTGAGCCAAGTTTTTTGCCTTCCTCTGAGCTTTTGTCAACTTTTGTGGCTCAGGCTCCTCTTCTTCTTCCTCCTGCACCACCGCTTTCTTCGCTTTACCTTGGGTCTGCGTTGCCGCCATAGTTTTTCTCCTTGCCTCCTTCGCTGCATCGAGTTGGGCCGCCGCATCCTCCACCATTTTCTTGAAGTCGCGCCCATCACTCGTCGTAGCGTCTAAGGCCTTCCTTTTCTTCCTAGCCTGCCTCATCTGGAAGATATCTACCTGGGATGTTCTCCGTCCATTACGCCTTCCTTTATGGCCCCCCAACCAGCCATTTTGACACCCTCTCCCCTTCGAAGTGGAAGATGTCAATCTTTGGCACTTGTAGCCGTGCCAACTCCCTTTTCTCGAGTGCCTTGACGAAGTCCTCCGGCGTAGCGGCGGGGCCCCGCTCGATTCCATCGTTGTCTGGCATCTTCACCCCTTTTTGCTAACCAACCTGACAGGAGTAACAAACGACAAACCGGTAAGCAGTTCGTCAAGTTCCAGAGGGCTTGGCCTACATCATTCTCTACTTCTAGGTTTAGCTAACCGCTCTACCGTTAGTCATTCACTCCCAAGATACAACCTTTAGTCGCACTATATATCGCTCAGTCTTATTATGACTTCATATACATCCCTCTTATATAAGTCAATCCAACCTATAACCTTTGTCGTTTTGCCTAGATCATCAGCCTGCACTTAACCTGGATTCGTTCTCTTAAGAACCCCGGTAGGCAGTCGTGATCCCCGGCAACGGCGCCACCTGTTGAGCGCATCGGTCCCACACGGGGACCCTCCCGGCCGCGTCACGCAGGATTTGGCAGGACTTGTCGCGGAGAGCGTTTGCCGCTCCGGCCGAGTGCGCCACCCGTACCTCTCGCGAGCCCCTACGACAGGACAGGGTCACGCGAGGCACCTGCTACCTCCACCTGCGGGAGTTGTCACCTGTCACCATCCCTTAGGTGGGCGTATCCCCGCCGAGCTAGTGAACCACATGCGAAAGCTTTTCGTATGCAATTGCAGAGGTGGCTCAGCCGAGGGCGTTTCTCGCTCGCTGTAGCATGGGGGTACGCGCGGTCGAACGCCCAAAATCGAACCCGTACGCGAATCGCCGTACTGGGGGGCTGAAGTCCCAAACGCGACTCGTCGCCGGTCGACTAGGACGCACTATACACACCACGCGTTGCACCACGGCACTCACACTTACTCACCCATAACACTTGGAACCCCACGCGAAATAAACACCACAAACAACGCTACAACAGAACAACTCCTAGTCCCTTCAGTATCTGACCCATAACTCCTAGTACGAGGATCGGCGAGTGCTGTGCGCGAGGATTTAGTATAAGAGCACGCGGACGCAATACCCACATATACCAATTCACTATGCGGCTCTATGTGAGTATCTGCAGTGACGGCGCATTATGTGGTGCCCATACCCAAATGGCCTCTTCGGCGCCATGGGGTTACTTCCGACGCTCAGGCGTTGGCTGAAGCGCGCGCTAAGGGGATGTAACACTTTAGTGGGCGCAAAACCGGTCTGAGGGTCTTTCCGTCTTCTGCACCCTGAGGTGCCCCAAAGGGTGCAGGGTAAGACGACCCCTAGGGCAGGAAGGAATTTGGAGCGGTGGTGAGTTGTCTGGCGCGTCACCAGCGTCCCGCTAACCCTTCCGCCCGGAACTTTATCGTTCCACCAAAATAAACCCTAACAAGGAAAGGATACAAATACTTTTAGTATTATCATAAAGGACACCGTTGGGATTAGCCCTGTGGGGGTCTACCCGAATTTCCCCTTGGATTGTCCCCTCAGCAGAACGGGGATAGCACAATCTCACTCAAACACAAAGGTTGTGGGGTAGTTCACTCTCACGACAGTTGTGAGGTCTGTCCATCTGAATCCATGCAATACCCCTCAACATGAATCAATCGAGACTCTTCCATACATACCTGCAATCACACCACGATATCAAACAAAGATCCACATGCTACACGGGGTCAACTTCAACCATCCTCTCCACTCATACCCTGTGCTTTAGCCATGCAAGCCCCAACCTCCAGCCAACCAACCATAATTCAGTACTCAGTACTTCTGTTAAATGGTCATTCAATGAAAGTCTGGGTGAAACCTTAACAAAACAGATAAAATCACCAGGGCTGAAGCTTTTTAGGTTGAGTCTCGAGGGTGTATTAGGGTTCAGTCGTAGACCGACGGATCGGCAACCGACCTGTTATTAATGATAACAGAGGAATAATCTCTGTGAAGGAATGGCCTGATCAGATCAGGCTCTCAAGTGATAGCACAGCAACCTGCATCACAGTACAGGCCAACGAAGAGTACTACTTACGTCTGTGCCAAGGGGAGATCATTCCTCTTAGTCGTACTCTAGCCCCTCTACTAGTACCAATTAGTGGAACACCTCCTCTAATCAGTTAGGATCTGCTAAGTAACTCCTAACTGAAAAATATTCTAACTCCCAAAATTTCACGAAATTCCGGCAGCGCTTCCCGWAGGAAAAGTGCCTTTTYATAATTTCTAAGAGCCCAAAAAATAACTAACTCTTTCAGATTRTAAAAATTTTGGCAGCGCTTCCCGTRGGAACAGGAGGCTACCAAGATTTATACAAAGCTGAAAAAACAGAAAGACAAAGCAACTACACTTTGGACTAACTTCTGACACCTGTCTGATGACTCAGGCTCAATGGCAACCAACACAACCTCTAGCTGAGGCTGTGGGCTAGCACTTGGCCTAACTCCCAGCAGGGTCAGTCCTACCTTYATCCCAAGTTTCCCTCTCATCATCTATCTAGTCTACCTATGGCTCCAGCACTTGGCGAGCAGCTAAAGCAACTAACCTATCGAAAAGACACCCCAAGTGAGACCCTATAATCATACATGAGCATGCATCTCTCACAATCCCACATACATTTGCCCAGGTAGTTCGTTAAATCACTCAGTTGTTCCCTTTCAATAACCCCCTCACTTATGGCATAGGATCAGACAAGGCCCTAACTTAAGGGTATGTCCAACCTGCCAAAGTAAACAAGTAAAGGTACGCACAACTGGACTGCCCTAACTTAAGGGTATGCCCAACTCCAGATAAACTCTAGTCATAAAACATATGACCAGGCCGCCCTAACTTAAGGGTACGCCTGACTTCTGTTTGAACTGACGACATGAAGCATAAGGTTAGACTGCCCTAACTTAAGGGTATGCCTAGCCAGCTTTACACAAAGTTACATAGGGCATAGGATTAGACTGCCCCAACTTAGGGGTGTGCCTAACCTGCCTAGAACAAGCACGAACGACGAATGGTCAGACCGCCCTAACTTAAGGGTACGCCCAACCTACAGAACAAGCACGAACGACAAATGGTCAGACCGCCCTAACTTAAGGGTACGTCCAACCTACATCACACCAACGACAAGAGCCTATCACCAGGCCGCCCTAACTTAAGGGTACGCTTAGCTRGATTTAAACAGTATAGTTAYATAAGACAGAATCATCMTGAACAAGGTACAACGACGTATAACCAAGYCGTCCTAACTTAAGGGTACKCTTAGCCTCCRTAACGACAATCATATGAAAACCACCATTGATACACGCACAAACTTTATGTGTTTCTCTCTTATTAGGCAGACGATCGGACCTACCCAACTTAGGGAGACATCCAACCCTGCCTCGTGTTTAGAAGGGAAAATAAAACAAGTTTATACTAACTTGCTGATCCTTTGTCTTATTACGAGCATAGGACCGAGCCGCCCTAACTTAAGGGTACGCTCARCCTGCCCTGGTTACCTTCATTGTATTCTTCATCACTTCTTTCCCCTTATTGTTCTATCTGACTTACTGACTGGCTTTCTCAACTTAGRRTGCCCAGTCTGCCAGATAATATAGGTTCGTATACTACATATCAAAATTGTATACTTTTAGCTGACCCTAGTGTTCATGGCTTATGACTGAGCCGCCCTAACTTAAGGGTACGCTCAGCCTCATGCCTGTGTCCCCCTCAGAAGGAAATATACACAGGACTGAGTCCACGCAACTTAGAGTGTTCCCAGTTCTGTTTTCAGCAACCCACAAAAGAAACATCAGGATTCTGAGGCCTCCCAACTTAGAGTGTCCATCCTCCTGTTCAGAAACCCCAAAAAAAAACAGCGACTGGTCCGTCCAACTTAGGATAGGCCCAGCCCTCAAAATCATGCAGTCAACCCAACACACATAAACAAAACACAGCACTGAGCCCACATCAACTTAGAGGAGCTCAGCCTTGGGTTGACCCGGTCAAAGCAAGCGATACAACTTCATCCCACCTCCCCTGCTCATTTTGTCTGAATTCCCTCAAAGGATCTGCACTCTCAAATATTGTTGATTTACTTTTCAAGATGTATGTCCTGACAGACATAACAAAAGTAAGAAGTAATAACCTCACATAGTTGTGTTCAAATAGCCCAAGGATAAAGGTTTAGGGGAAGGGATCACACAGGTTAACGAGGACATACATGAAGTTCCCTGCCTCTAGAACCCCGCCTGGGCTCCGGCAGAGCTCCCGCAATTGGTGGGTGGACCTCCCACAATTGGTGGGTGGACCTCCCACTAGGTCTTGATGCGGACCTATGGGTTGCAATTCCACCTGTCGCCTTCCTCTCGTAACCAAAAGACTACACTTAGACTGAGAAGGATAGATGTAGAAAAGATTAGACTCTCGAGATCCAAGGGAGGTGCGCTCAAACTCACGTGAGAGGGCCTTGAAATCTTGGCTCGCCTGAGGGCCCCGCAATGATGGCCAAATCACACCGCTGCTGGTCAAACTGTCGGCAACCGGTACTCTGACAAAGCCTCGAGTCGCAGCGATAACCCCCCTTCGCAGTCTGGGATAGTCCAATAGTGGCAAGTAATAGCATGTAGTAGCTAACAACGGCTGTCCGCGCGCTGCAGCAGTTCTCAGCAGTTTGTAGCGGTGGTCGGTGCACAACTGGCAGCGGTATGCAACAACATGTAATAACCAGTAACCGGCAGCAACAGCAATCAGCAACAGCTGCAGCAGTCCTTTGTACTACTGTCTGTAGGCAACCCTACAATGTCTGCATACGGCAGTCCCACAACAAGGGTCGAGCATGCTACACAGCCCAGCTCAGCGTACTGCAGCCGGCCACTTAGGTGACTGCCAATAGCACTGCTTCCACTGGCTAGAATGCTAACGGCCCTGCAATGGCCGTTAGACGCAGCCACAACTTCAGCAGCATTCACAGCAACAGTAGTTGTAGCCAGCAGCAGCAGCAGTCCCACTACTGGTCTCACACTGCTTCCTTCGATCGGACGAGCAACGCCTCATCCGACAGGTAAATCTTCAACCGTTGCTGCCCCTCGATTGACAGGGTTAGCTTGGCGATTGGAGCAATATTCAGGAGGTTAGGAGAGACAAAAGCCACGTGGGAGATGGCATGGAAGGAAGCGAGGCGCAGCAGAAAGAAGGACAACGCACGAGATTCTCAGCAGAAGCAAACGAGGGAGGGCTCGATCTCGAGGTTCTGGGTGAGGGCGATTCCATAAGTAA